ACGCAAGAATATGAAAGAAGACAAAACAGGAATGAAGAAAGGTTCAATGCAAGCAGAGAACGAAACGGCCCAACAGATGCTAAGAGTCTTTTAAAGAAAAAGCTCAAAGATGCGCTCTAAGACACAAGACAAATAACACGTTTGCTCTTTCACTTTTCACTTTTTCCGCACTTTCTACTTTTCACCTCAGGGTGACCTGGAGCTGCGCCTCGCGGGCTTCGCCGTTGGACCGGACTCGGTGTCCTTCGACCGAGGCGCAGGCGACGACGAGTCTCGCGTCGACACGCTCAAGTCCGTGTGACTACTATATCTTCTGTGTTGCTAGTATGGTAAAAAGGCTCCTAGTAGCGATGTCAGCAGCCCCTGGTAGCTGCTCTCTTATAGTAGTGAGGCCAGGAGACTCGCTTCTCTCTTATACTACAAGCTTCTCCTCTGAAAGAACACTCTTCTTTTCTTCACAAGCCCTGAAATGCCATATTCGACCAGAAAGGTCTCCCCTTTCAAAGAAGCCGTTCATACGTTGGTTGCACGAGGGTTCGGTGATTGGCATTCAAGGCCCAAGGCCTTTTGCAATGGGTACTTGTGGGTTCCAGTCGTGAGTGAGGGCAAAAAGACCTGAGGCCACAGAAAGACACGTAGCTGCAGCGTGTTTGTTTTGCTTTGTGACAAATGCGACAAGTAGGACATTCTTTCTTGGGCCTTGCCGTAGCAGTTTGATTCTTCATTCCCAGTGAAGGAAGTCCAAGCAGAGTGCAACGAGGTGAAATGAAGACTCCACAGTCTCAACGAATTCATCAGAGAAGTCGTGTTGGGCCATCGCTATTATATGCTATGATCAGGTTGGAGGCCATTGCTATTAGTTGAGTTGCCCTAAGAAGCGTGACCTATCCTGCATCCACACTAGTAGCGTCTAGCGACTCCCTGGCTTCTACCTAGCGACCTACCTCTACGGGCGGCCTACCCCTACTGTGTTTTTACAAAGTCGTCTATTCTGTGTTTCTCTTGGCGCTGCCTCGCGGGTGCCTCGTCCTGCAGGTGCAGCGAAGGACACTGCGTTGGACACTGCATCGCAGATCTGCTCCGTTTACGAGGCCTCCACCGAAGCCTAGAGGCTCTCTTCGGCCTCGACTCAATGAATTCGCGGTGGCTTGGCCTTTTTGCACCAGGTAGAGGGAAGATGATGCAAGTTCTGATACAATGGTCTTAGTCTTGTTGAGGCAAGAAATGAGGGAGGGGGAGGCCACATCGCCAAAGTGTAGCCTATATCCCCATAATGTACTCTTTTTGGTGTTCTGGCCGCCGGCGCCGGCCACCGGCACCGGCAACCGGCCGGCCACCGGCGCCCGCCACCGGCAGCGGCGCCGGCCACCTGTAACCGGCACCGACACCGGCAACCGGCGCCGGCAGACTCGCAGGCAGATAGATAGATCAGTTACGTTAGATGGCTCGAAAAAGAGAGAGAGATCAATGGATAGATAGTACTGCATTCGCGAAGCCACCGCTGTGTGTACTTTGCACCAAGGCCTTCCCCAGTGGCCAACAGCGGTCTGACCCACCAAAGGTCACCAACGTGGAATGGCCACATCCTTTAAAATTTTGCACCTGCATTGCCCACAAACGGTTGAGCCAAATTGGAAGAGCCATCAATGGCCACATCCTTCTCTAAATTTTTTCCCCTGCAGTGGCCACAAAAGGGTGACTCAACTTGGAATGGCCACTTGCTTCTCTTAATTTTCCCCCTGCATTGCCCACAAAAGGGTGGGCCAACTTGGGATGGCCACATCCTTGTCGAATTTTTTCCTGCGTGCCCACAAAAGGGCGGGCCAACTGGGGATGGCCACATCCTGCTCTAAATTTTGCCCCTGCATTGCCTACATTGAAGGGTGGGGCAACTTGGCTTGGAAACATCCTTCTCTAAAATTTAGCCCTGCATTGGTCTACATACATGTGAGGTCACCTTAGAATGGCAACATCCTTCATGAAGTTGTGCCCCTGCATTGCCCACAAAGGGTGAGATCTTTCTCTAAAATTTACCCTTGCGTTGACAAAAGGACGTCAACTTGGACTGGCCACTGCCTTGTCTAAAGTTTGCCCCTGCATTGGCAACAAAAGGGTGGAGTCCACTTGGGCTGGCAACATCCTTCTCCAAATTGGTTTCTGCGTTGCCAGCAAAAGGGTGGCAACATTCTTCCCTAAATTTAACCGTCGGGTGGCCTGGCAAGGGTCATTCCACTTGGCAAGGGTGAGTCAACTTGGAATGGCTGCACCTTCTCTAAATTTTACCCCCGCATTGCCCACAAAAGGGTGAGGCAACTGGGACTGGCAACATCATTGTCCAAATTCTATTCTTGCATTGCCAACAAAAAGGTTAGGTCAACTTGGAATGGCAAGATCCTTTTGGAAATTTTACCCCTGCGTTGCCCACAAAGGGGTGAGGCAACTTTGAATGGCAACATCATTGTCCTTCGGGTGGCCCACAAAAGAATGGCAACATCCTTCTGAAATTTGTACCCCTGCAGTGCCCACAAGGGTGCGTTACCTGCCATGCCACATACGGGTGACGTCAACTTGGAATAGCAACGTCCTTGCCCAAATTTGACCCCTGCGTTGCCCACAAAAGGGTTAGGTCAACGTGGAGTGGCAACATCCTTCTCGAAATTTTACCCCTGCGTTGCCCACTAAAAGGGTGAGCCAAGTTGGAATGGCCACATCCTTCTAACTTTCCCCCCTGCATTGCCGACAAAAGGGTGGGCCAACTTGGGACGGCCACATCCTTCTCTAAATCTTACCCCTGCATTGCCGACAAAAGGGTGAGGCAAGTTGGAAAGTGTACCCCTGCATTGGCTACATTAACGGGTGAGGCAACTTCGAATGGCAACATCCTTCTCTCAAATTTAGCCCTGCGTTGGCCCACAAAAATGTGAGGTCGACTTAGAATGGCAGCATCTTTCCCGAAATTGTCCCCCTGCATTGGCCACAAAAAGGTGAGTCAAGTTGGAATGGCTACACCCTTCTCCATTTTTTTTTACACCCGGGTGGCCCACCAAAGGGTAAAGTCCACTGGGACTGGCAACATCCTTCTCTAAAATTTAACCCTGCATTGGCCAGACAGGGGTGGGTCCACTTGGAATTGCAAAATCTTTCTGCAAATTTTACCCTCGAGTGGCCCACAAAAGGGTCAAGTCCACTTGGACTGGCAACCTTTTTCTCGAAGTTTTACTCCTGCATTGTGACAAAAGGGTGACGTCAACGTGGAATATGAATAGCCACTACCTTGTCTAAATTTTGCCCCTGCATTGCCCACAAAAGGGTGGAGTTCACTTAGGCTGCCAACATCCTTCTTTAAATTGGTTTCTGCATTGCCAACAAAAGGATGGCAACATCCTTCCCTAAATTTGACCCTCGGGTGGCCTGACAAGGTCACTCCACTTGGAATGGCAACATCCTTCTTTCGGGTGGCCCGCAAAAGGGTGAGTCAACTTGGAATGGCTACACCCTGATCTACATTTTACCCTCGGGTGGACCACAAAAGGGTGAGTCAAATTTTAGGATTGCATTGCCCACGAAAGGGTGAATCAACTTGGAATGGCAAGATCTGCTCTAAAATTTACCCGTGCATTGCCTACAAGAGGGTGAGTCCACTTGGGATGGCAACATCCGTTGTAAATTGCACCCCTGCAGACGGACACCGGCCACCCGCTCGGGCACCGGCTACAGGCACTTGCCACCGTCAACCGGCACCGGTCACCGGCTCCGGCCACCGGCTCCGGCGCCGGCAACGACTACAAAAGTATAGACTCTATATATCCAAGACAGTGCTTTCTAGGCAGTACCGTTGCCTAGAGCACACTTTCTTAATCGTCCCAAGAAAGATTTGTTCATTTGCGCGATGATTCCCACGGCTCACCGTAATTAGCCATTGTTCTTACATGCCCACTGGATGTTCTTTTCTGGCTTTGGCACTCAGTTCATCGCGCCAGGTTCCGAGATTTTGGCGATCCACGCCATGTGCCAGCAGCTTTGGGAAACCAACCCGGAGAGCCGTTGGCTTGGCGCGACAAGTTCATGTCTCAATGCTCCTGCAGATGCTCGCGCAGGCCAGTGACATGCGCATGGTGCAGGCCGTCGGGAGATTGAAGAGGTGGAGTTGGGACTGGAAGAGGTCGGGTCCAAAAGAATACGGTAGATGCCAAGAAAGCAGAGGTGACAATTATACAGATCCTCCACAAAGCAGGGGAAGCACCTGCAGCAGACCGCAACATCATGCCATGCTTGTTTTTTGTAGAGAGAATGATGAGTGAGAAAATGAGAAAATTTGAAGCAATATACATAATCATTTCATTCCATTTATCCGTTCCATCTTGGGCATTTCCATATCTTTCCAGCTGCTTCCATGTGGCATGGGGCTGGAAGGACTGTGTGTACGTGACTCAGGTCTTTGGAGGCTGGGCCAGGTTTCCCCGATAGTTTTCCATCGGTCGATTACGTACGTCTTGGGTCGCCACGGAGACCATGGTCTCGCTGCCTCGAGTCGTCGGGGAACGGATAAGAAGACATGTTCTACAGTATATATATATATATAAGTATATATGCAAGTAAAAGTCATACAAATATAATGCTGGTGGTCCGAGGAGAGCGATGTTTGCTATCCCTGGCTTGGTGCAGGCCAGGGGGTTGTGCAGGGTGTAGGGCGGCGGCGAGGCTGGCTGAGTGCCACGCTCCTGTGTGTTTCGTGAGACAGTGCGTGGCGCCGAGCCACGGGTAAGCAGCCAATCACGTGAAAGAGTGCCCCAGACATTTTCAACCCACTAGCCACCCGCCTTTTAGCACGCAGAAGCTCCCACGGTGTGGGCCCACATGAGGGGTACGCAGCGCTGTCTAGAGAACATTTGCGTTGGTGCCGACGGCGTCGGGGGACAGTTGCCTCGTTTGTTTCTATAGTGCGTGGTGTCGGCTTGTGTCCTGGAAGCTTCGTGCTTTGTTCGGTTGCAGCCTTTCAGCAACCACTGCGCGTGTAGAGCTTGCGTGTGCTTTTGTGGAGATGGCCCGCGCTGTGAAGAAAGAGGGGCCAACCGATGAGGAAATTCTCCAGGCTTTTCGTGGTTGTGAGTTTTTGGATGAAGAAGAGGCGACGCGGAAGGCTCCAGAGATCATGGCCGTGGCTGTGCCGTTGGCTAAATCATTGTCTCTGTCGTGGCCGTCGAAGCCTCAGATTTGCTTGGCTGCAAGAAGCACAGGTGCTTTTTGCAATTGCATGAAGGACCACTTGTATATGTGCAGAGGCCTGTCGTGGTGGCAATGATTGTCATGGTGGCTGCTCTATCACCTTTGGACTGTGCGATTTGTTGGGTGTCGTGTTGCGTAGGCACGGGGCTGTCTTTGATGTTTTTCAGCTGCGCATGGACGCGGCGTGGCAGGATCGCTTTGTGATTGCGCCGTCCATTGCGATTCCAAATTCCATTTGGGCAGTGCTCCTCCACCCCGGCTCGGTCAACACATCAGGCCTGATCCTGACCGTGGTGACCGCGCTGAACTTAATCATGAACCGGAGGCATCAAGTCGAGGTCGCCGCTGCCAAGCAGGCAGCCCAGGACCGGCAAGAGGCAGGGCAGGACCCAGACTACTCCGTCCCTCCCCGTCGACAGTGCCTGGCGGGAGGCGGCTCCCTGGCTGCCACAGGAGAGAACTGAGTGTGTCAGCAGCACGTCACACATTTCCATGTGTCTCAGGTACCACTTGTGCAGTCAGTCTGATAAGCTGTGGGCGTGCAGGACTGCAAATGAGCCAAGAGCAGAATCGTGGTGCGGCAGTGTCCGTTGAGCCGGAAGTGGAGCAAGTGTTCCACTGGTTTGCAGTGTGCTGCTCAGGAAACTTTGTGTCCGTAGGTTTGAACCTCTCCAAGACTGAATGGCGACTGAGGCTGAGAGCTGCGTGGACGCAGGGGCAGCCGGCAAGCTGTGGGACGGGAGTCCCTGGCACGGGCCGGTGATGGACAAGACGCGGGCGTTCACCATCGAACGCCCGTGGTATTCCATCTTGGCCGCGGGACATGTCCCTGAAATGTTCCAAGCCACGCAGCGCGACGCCTTCGGGCTGCGTGGGCGTCTGACTGTTTGCGTTCCGCATCCAAGGTTCCAACCTTTGCGTGACATCATCGCGGCATGTCAGAGCCTATGTGTCCCCTCGAAGAAGCCGGAGGATTTCCTCGCAGGTTTACTGTATCCAGTCTTGGCCAATGCTTTGCGCCATCCAGAAGGCATGGCGCTGGTATTGCGTCTTGACTTGTTTTTTCTGGAAAGTAGATGTGTTGTGCAAGGCCGAGAATTTCGCCCAGACCCAACAGATGGGGCAATGGAGACAGTGCAGCAGAATTTTGATGCAGAGTCCTCAGTGTGGAGCCAGTATATAGGAGTCGTTCCAAACCTCATATAAACTTTCTTTGCTTCGTATACTTTTGTATTGCACAGTGTCTCTGCCTCTGCAAGCCTCTTGCGTGCTGAGGGCCATATGTCTTTGCAAGAGGAAGCCTATATGCGGAGGGGGGGAGCACGAAACCAGCAAAAAACATGGCAAGCTTAGGACCAAGTACAACCGTTTGGCTTGGGGAGTCCATGTGCTGACGGAGGTTTGCAAGCTCTTCTTGGCTTGCAAAGAGGATGAGGGTTTTGAGCTGGCAGGCGTCTGGGCTGCAAAGCCTTTGCGTCCAGTGTGTGTCGTGGTACTTCTTGCGTGTGCCATTTGAGGTCGCTGGGGTGCTGATTTCCATCCGCCTTTGACAGTTCCGAATGCTAGCTTGGAATTTGCGTATTGGCTGGCAGAATCCATGGACCGCTGGTGGGCTGTTCTGGATTTCGCGTCGCCGGCGCATGTCTTGCCGGAGGACCCACCAGACAGCTCGCAGGCCATTCCGGCAGCAGCGGCGTCAGCTCCACCTCGAGCAGGTGGAACAATGCCAGCTCCAGCTCCAGTGTCAGGTGTGCATAAGTTCCAAGGGATGCTGGCCAAGTATAGGGGCAAGAATGAGCTCAACAAGGATGAGCTGGATTTTCTGCTGGGGGTGAAGTTGTCCGATATTCCAGAGTGGGCTGCGGCGCTACAGCGCCATTCTCAGCCACAGGAACAGGGAGTGACAACGTATCGTCAGGTCATGAGCATTGTTTTGGGACATGAGGGTGCTTGGTTTAACTTCAACTACAGCCAAGCTGCGAAGAGAAGCCTTGTGAAGCTGGCCGGAAAGGCAACTTGTTTGCATAAAGTGATTGGCTGTGTTGTTTTGAACGTCGTAAGAATTTTGCACGGTCTGAGGACTTTGCCAACATGTATGCTTTGATGTCTTGCTTGCTCTTGTGCGGCTTGGGGCTGGGCACTGTCGTCCGCACATTGCCGACGGCGGGCGGTGGTCGCCCGAATTGGTTCTTCTGCAAGAGGGCAGTGGTTGCAAGCATGGAGTGGGCCCTTGCAGGATTGGGCGTTGCTGCAGAAACTACTCCCACTTTGGCGTCGTATGCTGCTGCTGTGCAGACATCGTTGGCTGAGCCATCCCCCCCGCGGACACCTTGCATTGATTGGCTGACTGCGGTCGCTTCTTCGGGGGAGCAGGTGTGTCATGCTGAGTCATGCATGTCACATCGTGGTGCATTTGTTTTTGCTGTTAATGTGACTTTGGGAGGCCACCGTCCAAGCATTCTTGGGAATGCGGCCTCCACATGAAGAGGGGCGCGGCGAGGAGGTTTCGAGTGGAGACTTTTTGCCCACATGCTTGTGGGGGCACTGTTGTTGTAGACTGCGAGGCCCGTCCCGCAGCGGTCGAAGAGGATTTCGACGAGGCGTGGTTTTCATTTGGGCGTGGCTCCAGAGCTGTTCTTTGTTTGAAACTCGTGTTAGAATTGGTTTTGATTAGTGAGGAGGAGGCGGCGGAGGAGGGGCATCCGGCTGCTGAGGAGCGCCTCGCAGAACCCAGCTTCGGCGCATAGGTCGGGCCTTGGTAAACAAGCGGGAGCGGCGTTGTACACGAAAGGGTGAAAACATGCACTTGTAATACGAGTGATTGTCTACATGCTTTTTGAATCGACCGTCTTAGGCATGGCGTTCTGCTCAGTGCTGGCTCACAGCACTTGGGGGGCCGCTTGTGCTATGTCACATGCTGCCCCAAGCAATGTCAGCGCGAGAATTGCGCGCGCCTGTTTCCGGAATATGCGAGACTCATTAGTGGCACGGTTGTGAAAGAACGATGTTGTGAAAAGTCTTGTTCATTCACACGCGGCGTCTCCTTGGACACTTTGTGTGCATGTTGACTGCAGGTGTGCTGTGACTGCAGGACTGGTTGTGCACGAGGTGACGCTCCCTATGGGAACTCCACTGCAGCCATTTGGCCGGAAAATTTGCCTTGCGACCGTGCGCGGCATGATGCTGGCCGACGTTGAGGTTGTTTTGCACCCATACCCAGCTTCAGTGCTGGGGTGGTTCTGCCTCGGATACAACGTCAGCGACGCCTTGGGCCGAGTGCCCATGATATCTGGGCTGGCGTGCCATCGCATTTGTGCGCGCATGAACAAGTAGGGGCCACGTTGCAAAGGCTGCTTCGTGACGCGCCCATGTGCATTTGCATCGAGCAGAGTGCCTTTGCAGTTGTAGACCCGGTTCGAGATGCGCCTTTGTTGCCAAGACTTCGGGTTGAATTTGTGCCTTGTTCCAGGGCATCATGTTGCAACGAAGCCTTGGCTCGCTGGCGGCTGGTGCATGCAACATGTTTCACCCTGGCGCGGGGTGTGGTCCCCGCGCAAGTGGTTTGCCTCCGTTGTGAAAAGTGCGAGACTGTGTACGCTGGCTGCTGGCAGTGGTCCAGCGTGCCGGCCAAAAGCCGTTTTCCGGAGGGCTTCCATAACCCGCGCTATGTGGGTTTGCCGCAGGGCAATCTGCGATGGTTCTTCGCGCCCGGGCCTTGGCTTCACATGTGCTTTTCCCTGTTTGGTCATGCATTTCTTACGCGTGTGTGGTGTTGAGGACGCCGCAGATCGTGTTCGAAATTGCGCTCTTGGATTTCCTCCTGGCCTTGGCGGCGCGGGCGGGCGTCACTCTGTCAGCCTTCCATGCAGTTTACATGGGCTTGTGGCCATGGTCTTCGGATGGCACGGCGCATAGCCGCCGGGAACACTTTGTCAAGAAAACAATTGTGATCTTGATCGTGTGGGCCGCTGTGCAGATGTTCCTTGAAGCAGGCTTGAATGTGTCGCATGTCATTTGGTATTTGCGGCCACACCATACTGCAAACGACTTTGCCAACATCTTGCCTCTGGTTCGTGAAGCATTCCAGACCCTGGCCCAAGCGCATGCTTGTTACCTGTTTCGGCGGGTTCCTGCTGTCGTGGTGGACGGGAAATGGTGTGTGCAGACGTTGCTTTGCAATGCCCGTAATGGGAATCCTGTGTACGAGCCTGCCTTGCAGCTTGGTTACCTGCAAGGCTGCCGCTGCCGGCCACTTCGGGGATCTAAGTACTGCGAATATCACAACGCAGCCGGACCTCGTCCTAATGGCCCAGTGGAAGTGGAAATTATCGACCACCGGCAGGCGTGATTTTTTTGGGTTCAGTGGTCACTCATAACATAGTCACGGGGCGGTGCGGCCAACAGGTCACGGATGGACAAGGGGTTCACCTGCAGTACAAGATCGGCGACGTGTGGCATGCAGCGACTACAGTCGCCACGGGGGCCGTGCGGAAGTACGAGCTCCAGTTGTTGCGTCGCCAGGGGAGCCGTCAGGATGCAGAGGCGCGGGTGGACCAAGAGATTGCACTCGCGTCACGTGTTAGATCATTTTGCGAGGACTCCAGCTGCAATAAAGACGAACGCAAAGACACCGACGAGCCTTCCTGTGGCAGACGTACTGCTGGGATCTTGGTGGCGGTAACTCCCTGTCTGCAGTCACATAGCTGCGCAAGCTGTGTTCCTTGTGCGCGGCTCACATTTGTGTGTCTGTGTGCGCGAACAAAATGATTCAATGGTCATGCTGCTGCCTGCAGGATTGTATCGATCACTCCCATGTACGCGATAGAGTCTTGCACAGAAGTGCTTCTGTGCGTTTGGGCATTGTGCGCTTTGTTCCGTGTGCCCAGGTGGCATTCTATAGACAAGCATAATTACTATCAACCGTGTCGTGGTAAGGACTCTCGCGTGATGCCTCCTGAGGCGTTGCGATTCGTCATCTATGACAACGCTTGTGCCGTGGTTCGGACGATCCAGAAACGGACCAGGAATGGAGCCAATTGGGCTCAGCTAGCAGGCCTCAAGTGGGTCATCGACCGGCTCCATTTTACGTACCACAAGGCCTGCCAGGACCAAAGCAGCGGCTGGTATGCGCCTGGCACCAATCCAGCGGAGCATCCAGAACTGCGAGGTATCGACACAGAAGCGGCAGAGCAGGTCTTCAGTATAGCCAATCGTTGGCAGGTGCGGGGGGCAGGGTGCCCACTTCTGGTGGAGGCCAAACGACAGCGGCGACGGCTACTACTAGTACTCCTAATATAGTATCATGGCTGTTTTCCTGCTGCTACTGCTAGTACTACCAGATTTCACCACGACCAAGCAGCGAGCCTGGCGCGCCCCGCGCACCCCCGGACACTGCCGACCCCAGAGCTCCCCACGAGCGACGTGTAGCAAAAAACAGATAACGCAAGGGCCACGCGACCAGAAGACAGCTGCCAGAGAGGAAACGCGACCAGAAAGGAAGCTCCCACGCAACACGTTCGACCAATGAAACTAATTCAATATACAAGGGACACGCGACAAGAAAGAGAAGTCAAACAAATACTACTGGTAAGAGTGTAAGACCCGGACAAGGAAGCTGGCAAGTGAAAAGAACCACCCCAGAAACCATGGAACGCACGACCAAGGAGGAGAAGCTTACAAGCAAAGATAATGCGCAACAGATGGGGGAAAGAACACAGAGCAAGGACATGAACACGACCACTGGCATTATAACTACTACTGGCACAACACGACGGAGACTATATAGCACAGCTACCACCAGCGCGCCACCAAGACCGCGATGACGACTTATACCACTACGCAGCTTCCGCCTGCGAAGCCGACTAGTATACCACCACGACCACTGCGACCAACAACGACGGCGACGATAGGCATACTCTTCTAGTATACTACGACGGCGACTACGACAACCACTACGCCTTCTCCTGTTAGTAGCCCCAGAAGTGAAGGCACCTACAACAGAACGCCTTCTCCTGTTAGTAGCCCCAGAAGTGAAGGCACCTACAACAGAAACTACCTCCAGGGACCAACGGCAAGAAAGGAAGCTGACAAGCAATCATAACGACAAAACCAACGAACACAAGGGACGCACGACAAGGAAGGCACTTGAGAAGTAAAGATCACTACGAACGTTAGAGCCCAAACATTGGGGAAGACAGGAAGCTTGCAAGTGAAGATACACAAAGTTGGGAACATACGACGAGGAAGGACAACTTATGAAGCAAAGAGAACGCCGAAAGAGATGAACGCAAGAGACACAGGAGCAAAAAGAGACAAAGGACATGAACACGACAACTGCTACAACAAGTGCCAATGACTACTGCTCCTCCTGCTACTGCTGCTGCTCCGCCGCCGCCGCCGCCGTAGAAGTAGTCGGAGACAGTCGTCGTCGTCGTGGTCGTCGTCGTCGTCGTAGTACTACTAGTAGTAGTAGTAGTAGTAGTCGTCGTAGTAGTAGTAGTAGCCGTGTAGTAGTACTCTTGAGAACACTATATACTACCACTCTGGCGATGGTGGGTAAAACGATCACCGACCCAGCTTCGCAAGACTCTCCTACGTCAACGGGTAGCCGTCGCCGCATCGCTGGTACGCTTCGTGTCATGCCCTGCAGGTTGTGTTGAGCAATGCAAGTCCAGTGCACCAAGACATCTTGTTGCTGGCGTTTGCTCGAAACCACAACCAAGCCCAGACGTGTGAGCATGCACTGACGACGCTCCGGTGTGACATATATATTAGAGGCACATGTGAACATTTAATCTTTTTGTGCAACCACCGTGTTTCTGCGAATGTCATCTGTGCGGTGCATCGCTGAGGACGTATTTCAAGAAACAAGAGTCAGAGGCGGGTGAGTCAGCCACAGTGTCTCCAAGAGAAGCACAACCCCCGAAGCAGGCCAAGCGCATCAGGGTTGGAGCAGGCTGCGCAGCAGCAAGTTCTGTCGCGGAAATCCCGTCCAGCTCCAGGCCTGCGTCATCCACTTCTGAGACTGACCCTGTTGCAATCGGTACCTTAGCCGTGGGGGACTGGGTTTTGGTTAACACCAGCACCTTCGTTGTGCATCACTGTGTGACATCACGCTGTGTCACGACAGCGTGCGGACGGTACCTGCCATTTGTATCCAAAGTCACACGGGCATCTAAGCTGACAGGACACGGTTATTTTTCACGCGCCCTGTGCTTTGGAAAGCGGTGGCCACTTTTGTGTCCCTGACTAGCAAAGTTTTGCGTTTTGGCAGGGGAAAAGGCAGGGAACAGTGCTGCTGAATCCGGGCGTTACTGTGGTGGCCGGCCCTGTGCAGTTAGCCACTGTGTCGAAAAAGGTGTGTGTTTCTGTGTTGCAGGATTGGTTCTGCGCGTGCCTGACCGCGCGCAGTCCCGCCTAGCGCAGCCGCTCCCAACGCCACACTGCCGTGCAGACACGCCTGAGGCCTGGCCTTTCTTATGACTAGAAGGTCGCATCAAAACGAAAGTACAGAAGCTTGGTACTCAGGCCTGAGGTTTGCAATGCTGCCTTCATAACTCCCTTGCTTGAGGAACAGTGATAAAGGGCAGGTCTTCCAGCAGCATGCAGTGTGTTCGACCGATTGTACGCGTAGATTTTTCTTGCCGTAGACCAATTTATGACATTCTATGTTTCTGTCTTTCTGTAGTTTTTGCGTTACTTCTTGGGTTGAAACAGTTGGGGTAAAGACGTGGTGACGCCGCACGGACCGAAACGAACCGGTCCGGAGACCGGCTTCAGGGTGGAGTGTGAACGGTGGAAATGCCTACATAAGGACTGAAGCACAGAGGGCCCCTACCTCCCAGGTACCGAACTTGTTTCAATACTGGGGCTAAGGCTACCCACGTAACCTGGCGTGATGCAATACCAAGCAGATCCTTTTAAGTCTTGATGCGGTTTAGTGAAAACAGAGAAGTATCAACTCGTAACTGTTGCGACGCCACCAAGTGCCTTGGGGCTCATGGCAGCTTCAAACACCTTTCGCGATGTCTGTTTTTGGGGGGTCGCTCGCAAGTATTGATGTGCGGCGTGTCAAGCGGACAGTGACAGATGGACTTTGCTTCTTGGAGTTGGCGACAAATGGAGACCAAACACGGCCCAGGTATACGCAAGCCTCGTGGCAATGTTTGCAGCTCCAAAACAGCCTTGCCTGCCAGGTGCCTCGAGGGAATCTAAACGACAGCCTCCAAGCCCTGGACATTTCCAGAATTTTCCATGCGCTTGAGTTATACTGTTATACTCTTTTGGACTCCCATATGGACGTAGCCTCTACGGCCACGTGGCTGCATGATAAACTAGCGTGCACCAATCCATGCGAGTGTCCCTAATTTGGCCTGAAGGGGGGTGGGCAATGTCACATAGCACGGATAGACCTGCAATCCGGTCCCTGGAATTTCAAACCTTGTGGCTTCTGGCCGCCAGGTGCAGTGGGCCAAGCAGCAACTGGTGACGTACTGTCGAAGTCGAGAGAAAATATGTGGGTTGCGACCGGAAGCGCGGAGCTGCCCTCCTATGTTGACCTCCAACTGACTGTCCATTGTCTCAGTCGATCGTTTTAACCCTCCCGTAGCCGGACATCCACCGCTGCCGTACGACAGCGCATCCCACACTGATGCTTCTTCAGAGTACCGCCGCTGTAAGTTCAGTGCATGATCCAGGCAATTTTTTTTGGTTCATTGGACGTGACACTGAACCCCCACACCGAAGCCCAACTCGTAACTCGAACTGATTCACCCCCCTCCTTCTGGAAACTGTTGTCCAACATGTCATGATGGTCGTGGATCCGAACGCACGGTTGTCGATCCAACTGGCTCCCCCCTCCAGTGCCTGGTCAATTGCCGATCCGAACTGGAACTCGAACTGGAACTCGAACTGGTTTTCCCCCCCATGGTGCCATGGAGATCGATCGGAACTCGAACGCGAACTCGAACTGGTTTCCTCCCCCATGGTGGTGCTATATGGAGATCGATCCGAACTCGAACTCGAACTCGAACTGGTTCCCCCCCCC